TTATTAGATTTTAGGATATCTATGCCAGCTTGCTTCTTATGTCCATTTGATTGGAAAATCTTTTCCCAACCCTTAACCTCGAGGTAATATCTGTCTTTGAAATTGAGGTGTGTTTCTTGTATACAGCAGAACCATGGAATCTGTCTTCGTATCCATTTTATTAGCCTTTGTCTTTATATAGGTGAGTTAAGACCATTAATATTCAGGGATATTAGTGATCATTGGTTGTTGATTCTTGTTTGCTTTGGATACGGTTTTGGTAGTGGTATTGTGTATGAATTTTTCCCCTATTTGTGAGTGTAGTTAACTTCTTTGGGTTAGAGTTTTCCTTCTAGAACTGTCTGTGGGGCTGGATTCATGAATAAATATTGTGTAAATCTGGTTTTGTCATGGAATACCTTGTTTTCTCCTTCTATAATGATTGAGAGTTTTTCTGGGAATAGTAGTCTGGGCTGGAAACTGTGGTCTCCTAAGCTTGTAGAACATCTATCCATGACCTTCAGGGTTTCAGAGTTTCCATGGAGAAGTTGGGTGTAATTCTGATAGGTTTGCCTTTTATGTTACTTGACCTTTTTCCTTTGCTTCTCTTAATATTCTTTCTTTATTCTGTATTTTTGGTGTTTTGATTATTATGTGGCAAGGGAACTTTTCTTTTGGTCCAGTCTATTTGGTGTTTGGTAAGCTTCTTGTACTTTCATAGGCATCTTGTTCTTCAGGTTGGGAAAGTTCTCTTGTATGACTTTGTTGGATATGTTCTCTGCACCATTGAGTTGGGCTTCTTTGCCTTCTCCTATACATATTATTCCTAGGTTTGGTCTTTTCATGGTGTCCCATATTTCCTGGATATTTTGTGTCAAGGATTTGTTGGATTTAAGACTTTCTTTTGTTGATGAATCTATTTGCTCTAGTTTATCTTCAGTGCATGAGATTCTGTCTTCTATCTGTTGTATTCTCTTGCATCTATAGTCCCTGATTGTTTATTCAGCTTTTCTATTTCCAGCATTACCTCAGGTTGAGGGTTTTTTGCCTCCATTTCACTTTTCAGGTCTTGGACTGTTTGAATTGTTTCCTTCATCTGTTTTGTTATTTTTCTTGGATTTCCTTGTAGTTTTTGGTTTGTTTTTTCTTCCATTTCTTGACGGGATTTTCTCATATCCACTTTGAGTGCCTCTATCATTTTCATGAGGTTATTTTAAATGTCATTCTTTTATGTTTCATCTGTGTTGAAATGTTCATGTCTTGCTGGTGTAGAGTCTCTGGACTCTGGTGGTGTCATACTGGTTTTTTTTTCTGTTGTTGACTGTGTTTTTATATTGCCGTATTCCCATCACTTCTTTCATTGGGAGCTTCTGGGTTTGGGTCTAAGGTTCTCTTCCAGTGCGTTCCAGCAGATCCAATACTCTGATGGGTCTCACTATGGGTGCAGGTGGGTCTGAGACACTCTGAACCGCAGGGCAGATGCTGGAGCAGACTGAAAACTCAAGTTCAGGGAGGGCGCTGGAGGGGACTGAAGACTGAGGTGTGGCAAGATACAGGGTAGTCCTTTCTTGCAGAGTGGGTACACATTAGGTGCAAAGCACACCCAGGGAGAGAGAAGCAGGGGGATGTTGGTAGTTAGGGCCCAGAGCAGAGCACCCACTCACTTCAACCACAGGGCAGGGGTCAGAGAGGATTGAAGACTGAAGTGTTGCAAGACTCAGGGAGGTCCTTTTTGGTGGGGCAGGTCCACTCTAGGCACAGAGCACATCCAGGGAGGTAGAAGCAAGGGGATGTCGGGAGTTGGGGCCCAGAGCAGAGCCCCCACTCACCTCAAGCACAGGGGAGGAGTCAGAGGGGACTGAAGACTGAGGTGTGGCCAGACTCAGGGTGGATCTATCTGGCAGGGCGGGTCCACCCTAGGTATGGAACATGCCCAGGGAGACAGAAGCAGGGGGATGTCCATGTTAGGGCCAGGAATAGAGCCCGTACTCACAACAAGCCCAAGGCAGGGGCCAAAATGGGACTGACTCTAAATATTATATTATATAATTGCTCTTCATATGATTAAGGAAGGAGAATAGATAAGACTTTCATTAATCATATAATTACTATTACTGATACTCTTTTGTGTGAGGGGATTCAAATTATCACCCGTGTGTGTGTGCGCGTGCGTGCGTGTGTGTGTGTGTGCGTGTGTGTGTGTGTGTGTGTGTGTGTGTGTGTGTGTGTGTGTGAGTGAGATGCATGCTATCTGGTCATGTAGGTTTTCAGAGGACAAATGCCCTCCACTTTCCCTTCCTGCTTATTCTCTTGAGACACTAAAATTATAGCTAGGTGGACATTTTTCACATTATTAAGAATGTTCACTTATAGACTTTTCATTGGTGGTATGAAGATTTATCATCTGTCTTCAGATTTTATAATTATTCTCATAATTCTCATCTACTGTTGAGGTGCTCTAATATTTTTTCATGTTTTTTTGTTTTCAGCTACAGAAGATTGCTTTGTTTTAAAAATATTCTCTGTCTTTTCATTTATATTTACCATTTGATGAGGTGTTGTTATAATATCAACTTTTGCTTTTTCAGCCCATGATTCATTTAGTTTTTTTAACTTTCTTTTAAATGTTTACTTGTTTTTATTTGTGTGTATTCCTGTGTGAGTTAATGTGCACCCCAGGCATGGACACCATAAAGTCATTGGAGTTCCTTGATCTACAGCAACATTTCACAAGCTGTGAGTTGCAACCCCTTTGAGGCGGTCAAACAAGCCTTTCACAGGGGTTGCAAATCAGATATCTGCATATCAGATATTTGCGTTATGGTTTATAACAGAGGCAAAATTACAGTTATGAAGTAAAAATGAAAACAATTTTATGATTGAGGCTCACCACAACATGTGGAACTGTATTAAAGGGTTACAGCATTAGGAAGTTTGAGAACCACTGATTGTGTATTTCAGGCAGTTGTGAGCCACCATGTATGTGCTAGGGACCAAACAGTGGGCCTCTGGAAAAGCATCAATATCAAGTTCCCTTAACCACTGAGCTCTTACTCCAGTCACTGTTTCAGCTTTCTTATGATAGTTCACTGAAATAACTGACATCTGATTTTCCTCACAAATTATTACTTTGTAAATAATTAAAACCTTCCTCCTCTAGTTTTAAAAAATATGCAATAAATTATTAGAGGCTTATACTTACCCTTATATGTTATATTATACTATAATGAATCCATTCTGTCTATTTCTGTTCTGGTCCTTATTATCCCATCACTGATAATGTTTTTTTAATGTCAACATTGGTGACCCAAAATGGAATACGGTGTGCATTAAGCAAGGATTCTTTTTAAAGAAATGTTTATCAAACATCTACCAAGTGGAAAACACAATGATAGGTACTTTAAAAAAGATGTGGAAATCAAATTTTAAAAGTTCCTAATAATTTAGAAACTTGACCTCTAGAGAATGACAATGGTATATATGTAAATAATGCTTCATAATATGGTAAAATGAGATGTAGCCCCAAAGAATACAACGGAAGGCATTAAGACAAACGAGCACCTATGAAGCCTTATAATACTGTTAGAACATCCCTTTCCATCCTGTCCCTTTTCCTCTGATTCTCTAATCTGTCACATCCATCTTTTTCTCTTAAACAGATTCCAGTTGATGAACCGTTTTTTCTTACCCCTCCTGTTTTTCATTTCCCTTCTGGGAACATTGCTAACCTAGACAAAGGTGTAGTGAGTACTTACATGTATACACACTTGAACTACCCTAAGTGATATAGTATGATGCAGCTGAAGTTCACCATGTACCCCTACCCTTTAAATACTCCTTTTTTTCTAAAAAATATAGCCAGTAATCCTAAATAGTTATTTTCATTCTTATAGAAGATTCTTTGCATGCTACATAAGCATGCATCACACATATTCACTTTACTATATATGCTTAAATACTTGTAGTCATTGATGTTTTACATGTTTGTTTTTAAACTTTATGTGTGTTATAATGCATCCATAAATTCCCTATTTTTCTTATATGCTTTTCTCCACTACACCATCCAAAGTATTCCTTTTCAGGTCTTTCTCTGTGTCTTAGGCCTCGGAGGATTGTGGGATCTCCCTTTACCGTACCTCATCCAGGATCCAGTATTTATTGTTTTATTCAATTTATTTTAAAGGGACTCAATTCAATGATATTATGCTGGTCCAGTAATAGTGGAGTATTACTCTGAATTAGCAATTTTCAAATTATGTTGACATTAAGAATAAGCATAAGGAGTTCAGAAGCTCTGCCTGGTCAATTTTAGAATATACTATCCAGTGCATCTTGAATAGAGTCAAGGAGTTGGCTTTGCTCTCAAATTTCCAGGTGCTGCGGTGGCTTTTGTTTTCCCTGTGTTCAAGGGCCTCATCTCTTTTCCAGACAAAATGGGTCATTTGTCAGTTTCTGTGAATACAATTCAGACTATGCTAGGCCTCCATCTGTGTTTTTTTTCAATTTGTAAACAATATTATTTTATATGCCAATCCCAGTTCCCTCTCCCTCCTGTCCTCCCATTCTCCCCACCATATCCCCAACCCCACCCCCATCAACTCCTCAGGGAGGGTGAAGCCTTCAATGGGGGATCATCAACGTCTGTCACATCATTTGGGGTAGGACCTAGACCCTTCCCCATGTGTCTAGACTGAGAGAGTATCTCTCCACAGGTAATGGGCTTCAAAAGTCCATTTGTGCACTCTGGATAAATGCTGGTTCCACTGACAGATACACCACAGGCTGTCCAGGGACCCCAACTGACACCCACAACACCCACAATTAGCCAACCAGGTTAGGTCTTTTGCATCTATGTTTTTCTCAATAAATGGTTTAAATTTACTAATGCAATTTATTGAGAGTGGAATAAGAGGATTTAAAACAGTTAAAAGTGATCTGCTTCTGCGACTGGTAGGCTACAACAAAAATATACATCAGTCAACTTGAGTTAGTATTATTGACAGAACAACCTCTACAATTCATTCATTTCAAATGATTTTTAATTTTAATTTAAGGAATAATTAAACATTGGGATAAGTTTTCAGTATATACTTTTAGATGAAGAAGTTTAGAACAGTATCACTTGTGATGATTTGCATCTGTGAATTAACATTAGAAAATCTCAAAAACATGAAGAAACTATTCATCAATTCCATCTTCATTCATAGCTTCCTTTGCCCTCTATCTGTAGAAGAATAAGAGATAATTAACAACTGAAAAACATTAACATGAACTACTGTTATTTTTCAGTCTTATGCTTGTCTATCATATATTTCTGTTTTCTTAACAAAAAATGAGCATATTTTCTTCTTGAAACACAAACACTTGTGTATCAGGATACTTCTATCATCAAATGCCTTCAATCAGCTGACCCTGAAAATTTCCCCAATACCAGAAAGTACTTGTTTTTTTTCTGGATATACTATGACCTTGCAAAGATACAAAGAAGTTATTCTATATTAAAATATTCTGTACTCTAATAAACCATAATTTTAAAAATTATCGTGCCCTTCCATTTAAAGAAGTAGGCAAATAAAATCCAGTACTCTTGGAATCTTTCCAGTGGTAGATATATTTCTGAACTTCACATTTCTGCTAATGCATACATTTCTTTAGGGTGCTTTCCCCCTTTCCTAATAGCATGAACATCCTGTCCTTTTGATCATTTTTGGTCCTTTGGAAGGAAGTACAATCGTTTCCATTATGTTGAATTTTAAATATGTTTACAGCTTTATTGAAAAAGTATTTGTTGTGTTTGAAGACAAACTGTCTAGTGCATCTGGCTCATTGATATCCCCCAACCTCTTCATATCTGAATTTACAAATTTCAAGTATTCTCATAGCTCTTCAACATTGCCTTTGATCATCCTACATTAGATCATCTTTGCATTCTTAAAACTTTCATCCTAAAACAATATATAGGATTTGCTTGCTGTTGCCTCTGGTCTCTCCATCCTCCAAAGCTCCTTCCTAAACATTCCTTAACAACCAACAGTCAACTAACATAAGATTGTATGCTGAATTGGTAATCTCATCAAACAGATTGGTAAAAAGCAGCAAGCCACTCCCTCCTAATAACCCAATATCAGGGTATTTATAGAATTGGGCTTCCATTTGAATCCCAAGTTATCTGTATATAGCCTGCAAGTGAGTTACCAATACCAAAAGATACTGAATGGTAAACAGCCTTGCTGATGTTTGGTGGTCTTGTCTCCTTTGTTGCTAAAATCAGCAACTGATAAAGTACAAAAGTGTTAGTCAAGGACTCACTGTACTGGAACATGTCACCCTCAGCTTCCTCTGAGCTGTGTTATGCACTTTGAGATTCCTTTTGGGATATTACAAAAAGATAGCCATATTGGAGGTACTTCTATTAGACACTCACCCTTCCAATTTTATGCTTCCTTTGCCAGGTCTGGACTTCTTGGAGATTTCTCCTCTCTCCTGAATATGTGATTTTTCAGGCATTGAACTTTTCGGGCCTTGCCTTGGGTGAAGCAGAATGCGGTCATCAATATCATGTATACACATTTAGTGTTGTGCTATACTTAAGAGAAACAAATTTTCTCTATCAGGACCTAACCCCCCCCTTAGGTGAACTCACAGGCATGCAGGATGATCTCCTCCCCCTGAAACTCATCTGGTTTATCCCCTTCATGATCCTCTTCCTCCTGCTCTTCATACTCCTTCTCTTCATATTCATAGTTGTCATCATTGCCCTCCTCCTCATCTTCCTCATTATTGTAGCACTGGTCATCTTCTGCTTCCTCAGCTTCCTCATTCTCCTGGTCATTGTTCCAGACATACCAGTCATCTTCCAAGTCTGGCCACACCTCCTCGTCTTCAGGCAAGGTATCCTCCACATCAGGCCAGACGTCTTCCTCAAGCCAGATGTCTTCCACTTGAGGCCACATCTCCTCAACACCAGGCCACATTTCCTCCTGCCAACACCCTTCCAACACATCAGGCCAGACTTCTTCCTCACACCAGATATCTTCCATTTGAGGCCACATCTCCTCTACACCAGGCCACATTTCCTCCTGCCCACACCCTTCCAACACATCAGGCCAGAAGTCTTCCTCACGCCAGATGTCTTCCACTTGAGGCCACATCTCCTCAACACCAGGCCACATTTCCTCCTGCTCACACCCTTCCTCCACTGTTGCCCAGATGACTTCCTCACGCCAGATGTCTTCCACTTGAGGCCACATCTCCTCAACACCAGGCCATATTTCCTCCTGCCAACACCCTTCCAACACATCAGGCCAGACTTCTTCCTTACACCAGATGTCTTCCATTTGAGGCCACATCTCCTCAACACCAGGCCACATTTCCACCTGCTGACACCCTTCCTCCACATCAGGCCAGACTTCTTCTTCACACCAGATATCTTCCATTTGAGGCCATATCTCCTCAACACCAGGCCACATTTCCTCCTGCCCACACCCTTCCTCCGCCTTTGCCCAGACATCTTCCTCACGCCAGATGTCTTCCACGTGAGGCCACACCTCCTCAACTCCAGGCCACATTTCCTCCTGCCCACACCCTTCCTCCACCGTTGCTCTCATGACTGCTTGAGAAACCAGAAACGCTATGGTTCCATCGATGTCATCATTAGCATGGTTGATTGGAAGCACGTGTAAGACAATTTGTCTCGAATCGTGCCCCATCCCGCCACCTTCTTGCTGTTGATCAGGTGATCTAGGCTCCTGCTCTATAACAGCTGACATGATAGAAACTACCTGACAGCGAAGATCTTATTGAAACGCTGAGCTTTGAAGGGGTTGGTGGGCTGAGGCGTTGTTGTGAAGGCGACTACCACGAAGAAGAGTGAGGATGTTGGCTGCCGGTGCCTCCTTGGAGGCACTGAGAGCAGTAGAGAAGGTTTTCCACTATTGAACCTATGGAGTTCGTACGTGTGGAGCACCTGAGTAAAGAAGGGCTAGACAGCACCAGGAGGAGCAACGGACTGAGGTGGGCCACAAGATGGCTGAGGACCAGGTATGAGGGGGCGGAGCCTTGAAGGGTAATAATTGCCCCTCTCACACGTCACCAGAACTGTAAGCTCATTCGCCGAGACATAGTGATTGACACTCTTTGTGTCCAATCGGGGATAACGGCCCTTGAATTCAAGGGACTGCTCTGAATCACACCTTTTTCCGTTGAGGCCTTACTGTCTTGGCAAACTTTTAAGGTGATAGGAGCCCTGTCTTTTACACTTCATATTGTCAGCACAATAATAGTGTATCAACATGAATGAGCCTCACTGCAGTGATTTCTATTTGGCAGGAATTATTCCAATATAGACAGTTATAAAACAATTGTAGAGGGAAAGGAAAAATAGCTCAGAAGAGTACTTACTGCTCTTCCATAGGACCCAGGTTTGATTCCCAGCACCCACGTGGTGGTTAACAACCATTTGTTATTCAACTTCCAGGACATCTTGTACCTTCTAGTCTCATTGGGTATTGTATACATATGATGTACAGGCATACATACCAGAAATAGCACCAATACACATAGAAAATAAGATCTAAAATAATTAAAAACCCAATCATTGTATAGCTCATATTTAAGGAGTCGTAAAAATAAAGGAAACAGGAAAGAGCCAAATAGTGGAAATTTTAAATGGTTACAGTCAAAACTAGGGGTTGAAAGTGAAAAGTCAAACAAACTAGGACCTGGAAAATATTTAACTCTCACAGTGAAATCCACATTAATCCTCCTATAAATGTATACAAAAAGAGAAAAATTTTCTCAGAAATTTAAAAGACAGGTTTTCTAGGATGAGTTATCTAAACTAAGTGATTCTGTTTCATTTTCTCTGTTAGACAAGAATTAATAATTCAAAAATATAAAGCATTTTTCTACTCTGAAGAAATCAAATACAGTGAAATCCACATTAATCCTCCTATAAATGTATACAAAAAGAGAAAAATTTTCTCAGAAATTTAAAAGACAGGTTTTCTAGGATGAGTTATCTAAACTAAGTGTTTCTGTTTCATTTTCTCTGTTAGACAAGAATTAATAATTCAAAAATATAAAGCATTTTTCTACTCTGAAGAAATCAAATACCTTTTTATATTTATAGTGAAAAATCTTTAAACACAAAACCATCCCATTTGAGGAAAACGACACCCACCAATCTCCTTAATCACTCCCACACAATGTAGTAGTTTAGTAAACTCTCTCACTTCAAAAAGGAGAACACGTTTTCATAAAACACATAGATATTAAAGTGAATGTAGAAAGGTTACTTATTGAAACACAAAGAAATTTCATGACCCTCAGTGGACCCAACCAGACTTTCTCCACCATTGATGAGAGGCTCTGTTATACATTGAAAATATGCTGTGAAGTGAGCTTTTCAAGATCATGATAGGAACAAAAGTTAAACCTGAACTAGTCTATGGCATGTTTCATGTTATATATTGCCTATAAAATATCAGGATGGAGTGTTCTTTCTGGAGAACACTGATTCTCCCATTCTTAACACTCCTCAGTTGTTCACAGTTCTTTGTCTAGCGTTAGATACAAATAACCATTAAAGAAAAAAGAGGCAGTGAAAATGAGAGCTAGCAAGTTGAGCGTATTCATTGGAAGGGCTATCAATGGAAGAAAGGGAATGGGGAGTGATGTGTTTATATTTTCATTTTAAGTAATAAAGAAACATGGCATGTACTCTCTCATATATGGATTTTAGACATAGATCTGGGGAGTGTCAGCCTACAATCCTATGGCCAGAGAGTCTGGGAAACAGAAACTTCATTTAGTGGCTGATCGAAGAAGAGGCAGACTCCCCTCGGTTAAGTACTGAGCTGAACTCAAGAAAGCCAGTAACAGAGAGGGAGGACTGATGATCAAAGGGATTAAGACTGGGCTGGTTTAACCCCCAGAAACAGCTGACCAGACAAAGGTTAACTCTTGAATCCCAGGCATCAGCCTGGGAATCCAGCATGGGACTGATCAATACCCCCTGAATGTGGGTGTCAATGAGGAGGCCTAGGGAACCTATTGAGCCTTGGGCAGCAGATCAGTACCCATCCCAAGTATACACACGGACTTTAGACTCCCATAGAACAATGTGAGGTGCACTCTCACCCTGAACTCTTGGGGAAGGGTCTAGGCCCTACCCTATATGAAATGACAGACTATGGACACCCCCATGGAGGGCCTCACCCTCCCTGGGGGAATGAGGGGATAATGGGGGGGGTTGGGGGGCACGTGAGGAGGGGAGGGAAAGGGAGAGGGACCTGGAACTGACTTGTGAAGCAACCTTGTTTCTAATCTAAATTTAAACTGGAAAATAAAATAAAAAAATTTACCACTGGAAAAAAAAGAATTATTTGAAAAAATCAGGACAGAGAACCAGTTTGTGGGATATAAAAACGAAGACTTATGTTGGACTTCAAAAGAGACCAAAGAGCCCTGTGTATGGAACATGAGGCTCATTCCGGTCAATTCAAAATGTGCTTATTATCTTTTAAATTACTTGACTCACTGCTGTGGCCTGAATGTTTCTTTCTCTATTAAAGTTCTTATTTAAGACTAATGCTTAACACAACAATATCTATTGTCATATTAGTAGGTTATGAGATCATAAGGGCTCTCCTGTAATGAAAGATCAGAGCCTTGTAAAATGAAGACAAAATAGTGATTCCTTCTGGAAGATGAAGCAAAATAGTGCCACCATGCAAGCAGATGAGATGGACATAGCAACTGTCAGTGACTTAGTCTTGGATTCACAGGCACCAATATACTAAGAAATAACATACAATTATTCATAAGTTACATACTATATAGCATCTTGTTATAGAAGCACCAATGTGTTAAGAAGATAATCACTATGGATATTTAGCTGCATGCTTCAGTGGAAACTGGTAAAAACAATATTGATATAGCTGCTTATTTAGAACCAAGTGTAAGCCTTCACTCATATGACATGGGGCCAGAAGGGAAGAGTGAGTATGAAGTGGAGGAATATATGGAAAATGGGATATGCAAGGTTAGAAACTCTCACTGTGATGTTGTCCATCTCTAGGCAAACATCTTTACTGCCATGTGGAACCCATAGGAGAAGTGTTTGTATTCCCCCAAAGTCCCCAACCTTGAACCCAAGGTCTGGAATCAGTGGATCATGTTCCCTATAGCCATGAAGGTAACTACTGCCAGTGGCATCAAGATAGACCTGAAGAGGGAAAAGAGGGCTCTGCCCTACAACATCAAAAACTAAAGCAGGACTACTATGTCACTTCTCCTTTCTAAAACTCAGAAAAACTTCTGTTGGGAGCCACCTAGTGAGAAGTGTTTAAAGAAAGCTATTTGGGATGTAGAGTTGAGCTTAGCCCAAGTGACACTTTACAAGTGTCTAACAGAACAGCCTTGTAACTGTGACACACATATGAATCATTTTAATGCATATTTAATTTTTAGCATAGAAAAGAGGAATATCATCTCTCTGCTTCTATACACCAATAGATGCAAAGACTTTTCACAAAACAGAGTATAAAATCCCCATGTTAGTCTCTGTGTTTGTGTTCCCCTAAACCTTATTTTGAAATCCTATTCCTTGAGGTGACAATAGTAAATGATGCATCCTTAGGAGCAGTATAAAGCCATGGTGGCATAGCTCTCATGAATGGGACCAATGCCCTTCCAAGAGAGATTTTGATGTGGCTACTTCCCCATGAGAACATAAGGAGAAGCAACTATATGTGAACCTGAAAGTATTGTCTCTCAGTTACTAAATATTTTAATATCTCAAACTTTGTATTCTCAGCATGCGGAGCTCTGGGAAGTGCATTTTTGTTGAGTAAAAGTACTCAGTCAATGGCACTCTGCTTGGCATCCTGAATAAACTAAAGCATCCCTGTTGTCTGTTTGAGTGCAATCCTCATGCCTCCTTCAAGTCTCCTTTGACATGTTCTAAAATTAAGTTCAATAAGAAACTTTTATATAAACATAATCAATATGAGAATAAAAATATAATAAACTATTAGGTATTGATATATTTATGCTGATATTAACATGAAGGAGAAATAAAACCATTTCAGTCTAAAGGATTTTTGAATCATTTTTATGATGGAAAGCAAAGGATAACCAGACTACAATCCACAACCCCAAAGAAGCTAAGTAAAAAGGAGGACCCTATAGGTATACATATGGGCTCCAGGAATGGTAAATTGATAAGATCTCCTGGATAAACTGGAAGGGCACTAGAAGAGAGGGGGTGGGAACATTCGGGCTTGAGATGGCATAATTGGAGGGAGGGACACAGAGAAAGAGAGATATTGCAATGAAGGAGATATCTTGATACAGGGAGCCATAATGGGGTTAGTGAGAAAACTGACACTGGGGAAATTCACAGGAATCCATAAGGATGCCACCAGCTTAGACTCCTAGCTACAGTGGAGAGGGTGCCTGAACTAGCCTTGCCCTATAATCAGATTAGTGACTACCCCAATTGTCATCATAGAGCCTGCATCCAGTAACTGATGGAAGTAGATGGAGTGATCCACAGGCAAGTGTTGGGCTGAGCTCCTGGAGTTAAGTTGAAGCAAGGGATCTTATGAACAAGAAGGGTCAGGATCATAATTGGAAACCCACAGAGGCAGTTGATCTGAGCTAGTGGAAGCTCATGGACTATGATCTGACAGCTGGGGGAAGCTGCATGAGACTGAACTAGGCCCTCTGAATGTGGGTGACAGCTATGTGGCTTCATCTGTTGGAGGGGATTGCAGTATTTATCTCAGGTGCATGAATTGGATTTTTGGAGCCCATTCCATATGGTAGGATACCTTGCTCAGCCTTGATACAGGGGGAGATCTTTGTCCTGTTTCAACTTTGTATGCCAGACTTTGTTGACACCACATGGGAGGCCTTACCCTATCTGAGGAGTGGATGGAGGGTGGAATGAGGAGAGGTGGGGTAGGAGAAGGGGAGGGAGTGGTAATTGGGGTTGTTATGTAAAATGAATAAAAAGAAATT